CCAGGTATCCCAAGTACACCAAGCACATACATACATACAAACACATCACAACACCCAACTTTGGAACTCACCTGTGAGTATGTGTAGGTGTGTGGTATGTGTGTGAATTAGTGAATACACATATATATACTTATATACATATCAGTGTGTGTGTGTGTGTGTGTGTGTGTGTGTGTACGGTATATGAATTAGTAATCCACATATGTGTATTGGATGTGCAGGTGCTGGTAACCGGTAACTGATTCTGTCTAAATTTGGTGTGTGTAGCATATATGGGCTTAAACTGGTAATAGATGTGCATGAACCTAAACTAGTTAGTTGAAAAGTCCTAGTTCTAGACTTCCTATCTGCAAATTTGAATACATTTCTCCAGTTAATCATCTTTCTAATTAATGAAAAAGTACCATGGAAGTATGTATTGACATAGTCCAACACTTAAGAATGTTTTTGCTCAACTAGCATGCATCAAGGACTCAATTCAATGAAGACAAATGGGAGATTTTCCACTGACTTGAATAAGTATTAAATCAGGCCTAAATATGAGATTTTACTGGTACAAGAAATTCTTCTCGTTCAAGGCAGGAGAACTACTCTACTCAGTTTTGCAACAACGTCCTTATAACTCTATGCTTAAATTAGATGTAACCCAGGCGATACTCCAAGAGGTACCCCCTCTCCAATTGAAGGGATCAAAGCAGGTGCACAAGCGCTGTGGGAGGTGTAGGGACTCTCCTCCCTTATAGAGCAGAGCCAGAACACCAATGGGGACTTAACCATTTACCTTTTAATACTGGGAACATAACAGGCATAAATCAAAAGGTATAGTGGACACTACAATGCCCCAAGAGGACAGGATTCAACAAAGGTTAGACACTTACAATCATTGACAAAAACAGGGTTAACAAAATATAAAGCACAAACAACAGAACAAACAATATGGGTTGGTGAAATAGGGGGACTACTGGACCCAAGGGGCAGCGATGGGGACTTTCCCCAGCACCCCTGGAGCATTGTAGGTGAAGCGACAGACTGGCCGAAGCTCCCGCCTTGGTCGTGGGGTGCGGTCTGGGGCAGGACTCCATGAGGGCCCCAGAGGCTCAGGTTCCCTCTCACTGGAGGGGTCTGCCCCACTGGCAGGTAAAAGCGTGGGGATGCTTTCTCTGGTCTCGCCAGGCGGGGCCCCACAAGCAGCAGTCCCCATCTCCCCTTTGCCCTGAGGAGAGGCAGGTCCTAAGCTCGGGTGAAAGTAGCAGGGTACCACCAGTCTGAGTCAGAGTCCTCCAGGGGAGCTGCAGGTACAACTGCCGGCTGGGTGGCACGAGGCCTCCTTCTATGGGGAGACCTAGGCCTCTCTTCTCATGGCTCTCTCTGGGGCAGAGGGGACCCCACTAATTCACCAATAGGCAGCAGAAGGTTCCAGTAGACCACGCGACTTCGACCCAGTCCAGACTCACGGGAGATTTTCTATACCGGGAGGTCTCCCAGTTGTTGCACCACTGTATAGGGTTCAGCTCACCACCGATCAGTGATTTTGTGTCTGCCACTTAGCCCCAGGTTTCGCAGCAGCACCCGGTCTCCTTCTTGTAACCTTTGCTCATGCACGCGAGCATCGTAAAGCCACTTGTGCCGTTGCTGGTTTCTTCCAGCAGTTTCAGCTGCCAGTTGGTACGCATGACGGAGACGGTCCCGAAGCTGTTCTGCATATTGACCATGACTCAAATGTTGTTGGTAGATGCATTCTACCCCAAAGCACAAATCTATGGGTAACCAGGGCTCCCTCCTGAACATGAGCAAATACGGACTGACCCCCTTTGCATCATTCCTAGTGGAGTTGTTGGCATGCACCAGGTATGCAATATGCTGGCTCCATGCGGCCTTCTGTTCCTGCTGGAGGGTACCCAGCATATTCAAGATAGTGCGACTGAAGCGTTCAGGTTGGGGATCCCCTTGGGGGTGGTAGGGTGTAGTCCTTGATTTCTGTATGCCAGCCACTGTCAGTACTTCACGCAACAACCGGCTCTCAAAATCTCGCCCATGATCGGAGTGGATTCTTGCGGGCAGCCCAAACACAGAGAAGTACTTTTCCCACAGTACTCTGGCAACTGTTATTGCTGTTTGATCTTGCGTAGGGAAGGCCTGGGCATGTTGGGTGAAGTGATCTGTCACAACCAGCACATTCCCCTTTTGATGCCCCTCCCCTTCTATGGCTAGGTAATCCATGCACACAAGCTCCATGGGTTTTGAGCACTGGATGGTGTGTGGATAGGCAGTTCAAGCGAGCAAGGTCTTCCTCCATACACACCGGTCACAGTTTGAGAATTTAGTCCTCATGTCTTCAGCCATTTTGGGCCAAAAGAACCACTCACGGGCTAGCACCAGGGTACGCTCCTCTCCCATGTGCCCAAAGTCATCATGCAAGGCCCATAATGCAAGGGCCTTATACTTCCGAGGAAGGACCAGCTTCCAACATTTCCATCCTTCTGGGTCCTGCACCTCCTGATGTAGCACTCCATCAAACAAGCGAAGCCTTTCCCACTCCCTCAACAGGAGGTGGGCTGCTGGGGTAGCTTTATTAAGGGTCACTGGGTGGGTATCCCTGATCTCCGGGCACACAGCACCTCTCACCATCTGGGTCCTGTTCTTGCACTGTCCGCCATTCTGTGGCCATGACCTGGGGCAATGAAGAGGGAGTCAGAGTGGTGTACTGAACCCAGGCCTGTGGGATCCCCTCAGAGGGCAAACCCAACACTTCAGCTATGCAAACAGTACTTTCCCTCATCCCCACAGGGTCTTGTATCTGCAGGTTGCAAATGGTCTTCACTGTCTCAGGGCTCCAAACACTCCTGGGGTTGCTGGGGAGTTGTCGAGACAGGGCATCAGCATCCATGTTCTTTCATCCCGCTCAATAGTGCAGGCTGAAGGTGTAGTTGGCTAGAGCCACAATCCAGCATTGGCTGGTCACATCCAACTTAGCACTGCTGAGCACACAGGTAAGGGGATTATTGTCTGTCCACACCTGGAAGGTAGTCCCATACAGATAGTTCCGGAATTTCTCAGTGACAGCCCACTTGAGGGCCAGGAATTCAAGCTTATATACTGGGTAGCATGTCTCGCTGGATGACAATCCCCTGCTGGCAAAAGCCACTGGTCGCCAGTGTCCCTCATGTTCCTGGCACAGTACAGCCCCTAGTCCTGACAGGCTAGGATCTGTGTGCAAAATAAAAGGGCGGTTGGGATCAGCATATGCCAGCACAGGTGCCTGAGTCAACCGCTGGATTACCTCCTGAAAGGCATCTTCACACCGTGAGTCCCACCGGGGACCAAAAGGCTCTGTGGGGCTTCGTGTCACAGGAAGCCCATTTATGCCATTGTTTTGCCCCTTCTTGCGGGGCAACCTTTCCACCTGATGCCCACGAGTTAGGGCATTTAAAGGTTCAGTTATTGTAGCATAGTCTTTAATGAATCGCTGATAGAAACCCGCAAATCCCAGGAACCTTTTCAATTCCCTAACGTTCTTGGGTCAAAGCCAGGTGGTCACAGCACTTACTTTCTCCGGATCAGTGCTGACCTCTTCCTGTGATACAATATGTCCTACGTACTTCACAGAGGCCTGGCAGAACTTACATTTATCAATGGCCAACTTAAGTCCAGCAGTTTCGAGCCGATCGAGTACCCAGAGTAGCTGTTCTTTGTGTTCATCCAGGGTCTTTGATCAATAATATAATCTAAATAACAATAATATCATCTAAATAAACCAGTACTTGGGTCATATGCATATCCCCAACCACCTTCTTCATTAGTCGCTGGAAGGTGGCAGGAGCCCCAGATATCCCTTGGGGCATTCGTTCAAACTGATAGAATCCCAAGGGGCAAATAAAAGCTGTCTTCTCTTTGTCCTCTTCCCGCAGAGGTATCTGGTAGTAGCCACTGTGGAGGTCTAGTACTGAAAACCATTTGTTCCCTACTAAACAGTCTGAAGCCTCCTGCACCGGCGGCACAGTGTATTGATCAGTGATGGTCCGAGCATTCAAAGTCCAGTAATAAATACACATACAGAGTTGGCCATTCTTCCACACAATCACAATGGGAGAGGCATAAGGTCTCTTAGATTCCGTGATGATGCAGTGGTCCATGAGCTCCTGCAGATGACGTCTTACTTCCCCCATCAGTGAGGGGAATGTGCCGAGACCTTTCGCGAAAGGGTCGTGGGTTGCTCAGATGAATGTGATGCTCCACCCCCTTAGCCTCCCCCACATCCCAGTCATGCAGGGAGAAAACACGGGTTCAAGCCCCGAGTTTGTCCCTGAGCTGAGCTTTACAGCCTTCAGGCACTGGAGGGTTCCCGAAAAAGAACCTCGAATGGTCAATTGGAGGGGGGTTTCCCTCCTGCTCATGGTTCACCACTTCAGCTTCCTTTATCAGGGCCACCTTCTGTCCTGGGTGGACCAGAATATCTTTCAAGGTTGGGTTAACCACTATCACTGTAACCGGGTCTTGGTTGAGCCCTTTTGTCTTGATCACGCCATCAGGGACCCTCAGCGCACTGGGTCTCTCTCTCCTGGTGGGGGTCTCCACCACCAGCAGCTTATTCTTTTCATCCCTCTCAATCCAATTGCATACAGTAGGCAAAGCCCATTGGCCCTGTGCAGGGACTCGCTGGGGCTTTGCTCCAGAGAACTGCAGGATCCCCACAACCTCAGGGTGACCCATCTCTCTATGCTCCCATTGGTCATACGCCTCTTAGCACAAGGCATGCATCATTAACAGCTGTTGGTAATCTGGGCCAGCCTGTTGTTTACAGTAGTGAGCAAGAATGTGGAAAAGGCTGGAGTTGGTCCCTAGAATGAGAGTGGCCCCTTTCATCCACCCCGGATCAAGGCACACTAGAGTGATGGTTGACACTTCTTCCTCCACCCCAGCTATTTCAGCAGGGAACTTTAACCTCACATTCACATAACCCCTGTAAGGATACTGTTCTGGCTTAAGCCACAAAGTCCTAACCCCGTAAGGGGAAGCAAAGGCAGGTGTCTCAGATGCTCCTCATAGAAGGATTCGAATAGGATGGTAACCTGGGACCCACTGTCTAGAATGGCCTGGCATGGGCGACCATTCACCTTCACGAGGACCTCTGCACAGGGTCCCACTAGCCCCTTTGGCAATGAATTTACTAAGGATAATGTGCGGGAGTCTGTCTGGGTCCGGAGCGGAGCCAACTCCATTGCTCTGCCCCTTCCCCATTTCCTGCTGCCCAGTGCCCTTTTAACCTTTCAAATACCAATTCAGGGTTCTCAGGCTGGGTGAACTCCCAAGCCATGTGCCCTGGCTCCCCACATCTGTAGCAGAACCCTGGGTCCCTAAAGCGGGTATGGGGCTGAGGTCCTCCTGCGGCACAAGAATGGGGCAAGGGCTGACCCCTGGAGGGGGTTCTGGACATGGCAGCGGCTAGTGCTGGAGCCACAGGCTCCTCCTCCACTCCCAACAAGGTGTCCTCATGGGGAGCCACCATTAGCACCCAACCCATGGGTCTTCTCCAGGGGGAACCATCCTCTGGGACCCACATAGTGTCTTGGAGTCTAGATATCTCTTCCTCTTCACGAATCTCTAGGAGGAGGTGACTGAAGTCAGGTAGGCTGTTCCTGCTCCCCTCTAAGTTGAGATTCTGGAGTAAGTCTGAGCTATACCGTGCCCCAACCCAAATTTGCCGGAGCCGTATCTGATCAGCGTCAGTAACACTAAGTGCTCCTTGGGTCACCAGGCATTGTAGCACAGGCTCTAAGCGAAGGACGTACGCTAAAAGAGTCTCGCCCTTGCACTGGAAAGTTCCCAGCAATTCATAGTACGCCCCGCCACTCCTTGTGGGTTGGCCAAAAGCATCCTGAAGGACCTGCACGTATTGCTGGGTGGTGATAGCAGGGTTCTGGAGTTTGGCAGTCCTCACAACCCCAAAGGCAGGCTCCCTCAGGACCTCCAGCAGACGGCGTTGCTTATCCTCATCAGGTATTTGCCAAGTCAGTAAAATCTCTTGAATATGGGAGAACCAAGAGTCAAATCCTTCCTCCCCTGCAGGGACTGGCAGGGTTCCCGAGAAACTCCGGAGTCTCTTATAGGCTGCGTGGTCACTGGAAGAACGGGTCACCTCCTGCAGAATCTGCTAGAAAACCCCCACCCATTCTGGGGTAGCTTCAGTACCAGCAGTTTGTCGTGCTCCCCTCTGCACAGTCCCATCACTCCTGGAAGGTACGGCAGACTGGTCGGCATTGGACATGTCTCCTGGTGGCTCTCTCTCTCTCTACAGGGGTACACAGCGCTTGAATACTACTCTAGCACCCGCTACGTGGGAATCCCGGATGAGCCCCCAAAATGTAACCCGAGCGGTACTCCAAGAGGAAAAAAAATAAAAAATAGAAAATAAAATAATAAAAATGAGAAATACAGTGTGTAACTTAATCTTCAACGTAAAAATATCTATATTATTTCTTTTATGTTCTGAGCTCAAAGTTTGAGCTGATTAAAAAGCAAGAGATGATTAGTTAATTAGATACACAGTAATCAAGAATTAAACATCTGTCTCCTCATTTCCCTCTCAAGAATATTTTGTACTAGAAGGAAATACTTTAGAACATTCTAACTGGATTCTTGAACCTATTTTTGTTTTCTTTAACTCTAAGATAAAGTGGCACATGATGGAATATTGTTTATTCATCATTTAATTTTATATTTGCTAAACAAAGATCACCTACCAGATTGGAGTATTCTACTGAAAAAAACTAAATATCTCCCACCCCTTCTCTCAACCTTAATTATTGGTGATATGCTACATGCTAGATGGGATCAAACAGATTCCAACAGGGAAAATAAAATCTAAAATAATTTTGATAATACTATCAGGAGTGCTTTCTGAGTTAGTAGTTTACAAATGATAATCTTAAAAGTGCTTCCATTTTATAGTAAGAAAGCATTCTCTGCACATATTTTCTCAGGAAATTCTTACACGCTACATACGTACTGTTGTTCTTGCACCCACCAACAGCTTTAAGGCTAGGGACAGAAGTTACACATAAACCAGTTTAAGTGATCAGAAACCAGGTCAAATCTGTAACAGAACAAAAGATCTGTGCACTTAAACTGCATTCAAAGTGGTCAAAACCGATTTAAGATAAAACCTGGTTGAATGTAGTATCAGACCGAACTAATTTAGGTCAAACTGGTTTACGGAACTTTTGATGCAGATCCCCTACAAGTTCAAGTTAACTTACAGTTCCGCAGCATCCCAGGATGCTTTGCAGGCCTAGGCTGTACTGTCTGCCCCAACACAGCACGGTTGACCTTGCACCTCTGCTCCCTAGCCAAAATACTATCACTGGTCTGGCTGGGCAAGAAGAGAGTGTGTGGGAGGGGGGCGATGGGGGGGGGAAGCTGGGAAACCTGGCTCTGGACCTCAGCCAGGGTCTTCCTGGCAGGGGGTGGAACAGCCCCTGACAAGCTTTTCACCCTGCTTTCCACTCAAGCAGAGAACAGGGGATTGTGGCCAGAACCCAGGCAAGGTCAGCACATTGAGGCATATGGGAAGGGAGGGCAAGTTGAAGGCCCTCCCCTGCCTGCTCATAAACCCATCAGGACTCTGCCTGGTGGGCAGCGGGGAGGGGGAGAGAAGCCCCTGATAAGCTTTCCCCCGGCTCCCTGCTGAAGTGGAGGGGGTAGGAGGCATGGCCAATCCCTGAGCCAGGCCAGCAGAATGAGGCAGAGGGGAGGGAGGGGGTTTTAAATCCCCTCTCCCACCTACATGGTACCCAGCAGGGGTCTGCCTGGCAGAGGCAGACCAGCTGCACCTGTTTAAAAGCAATAGGACATGCTTTTCCCCTGCTCCCTGTTCAAGGGAGGGAGGGGGGCAGGGAAGCGGGTGGGAGCAGATGCCGGCCCAGGTTAGTATGCTGAGGCAGAGGGGACAGGAGGGGAAACTGACTTAAACACCCTCCCCCACCCACCAAGGACCACAGCTGGGGTCTGCCCAGTAGGAGCAGAGCAGTCCCCAACAGGTAAACAGCAGCCAGTGCTCCATGCAAGCTGGAGAGGGGATTTAAAACCCCCTCCCTTCCCTCCCCTCCACCTCAGTGTGCCAGCTTGGCCTGGGTTCTGGCCATACCTTCCCTCTTCCTCCCTCAAGCAGTGAGAAGGGAAAAGCCTGTCAGGGCCTGCTCTGCCCCCACCAGGCAGACCTGAGTTGGAGTCCCATGCAGGCAGGGGCGGGTGTTTAAATCCCCCTCCTCCCTCTGTTTCATTGTGCCAGCCCAGCCTGGAGTCTGGCCATGCTCTCTGCTTGAGCAGACAGCAGTGAAAAACCTGTCAGGGGCTGCTTTGCCCCCACCAGGCAGACCCCTTCTGGGGTACAGTGTGTGCTGGAGAGGTGGCTTAAACCCCTCCTTGCCCCCTCCCTGTACCAGCCTGAGCCAGGGTCTGGCCAAATCCCCTGCTCCCACTCCTCACTTGAGTGGGAAACAGCGGAAAAGACTGGCAGGGGCTGCTCACTTGCCCCACCAGACAGACCCTGGCTGGGGTCTTTGCAGGCCAGGATGTGAGTTTAAACCCCTCCTATCATACTTAGCAGGCTAGCTGGGCCCTGGCCACCCCTGCCCAACTCAAGCAGGGAGGGAGTAAAAGCCTCAGAGGGTTTCTCTCCCAGCTTCCCTCGATTCTTTCAGCTGAAGGGAAGGGAAGGTGTGCTTTAGCGCCCCCCTCCTCCCCCCAGCTTCTGGCCTAAGCCATCACAGGCACGTGGCTGCATTTCCAGAACCGAAAATGAACGTCTGTTCATTTGCTTCTCAATTCTATCTATGCAGTTTAGACTAACCTGCGAAGATCGAATCAGTTCAGCTTCAGGCTTTTTGATTGTCTGTATTTAGCCTAAGAGGAGATATTAGGGCCAAACCTGAGGCTAGCCAAACCCGTTGCTGAGTTATACGAGACAAGTGAATAAACCTCTAACAACCATAACACAAAGCCTATGTGAACTTCTGTTCTACCAGCTTTGATTTTAGGACTAGAGGTACTGCATTTTGTTATTATCAAAGCCACAAGATATTCTGTTTCTTTTCTCACTGATCCTTTGTTTCTACTCTTATCACCTCCTTTTGCCAATTCTCATTCCTCTTTTATAGTCATTAGCATTTGCTAGTCATATTTTTTTGATTTTTTTCATCCTTCTTTTCCTTGCTCTGTTCCTTCCCTTCATTCACAGCTTTTTTCTAAGTTCCCCTTTTTTATCTCCCTTCTTAGCTGCCCCTATTTCCTCTTCTCCCTTTTCTTAATCTTCTCATCCTGCACCTCCTCACTCTCCAGTTGAAGCACTGAAAAAATATCAGTTCATAAACAGCTCTTAGAATAGCCAAAACAGTGGACATATACCAGTCCCTACCTCCATTTAAAAAAGTCACTTATGTAGGATAGTGTTATTCTATCTTCACTACAACAATCTTGTCTACACTTTTTTCCCCTAGGAATGCTTATAATGGACCATGATGGCTGAGAAGCCCTAGTAGCAGGTTAATTCACCATCTCTTTCTCCTCTTCTTTCTAACCTTCCATCTTTTAAATATTACTCAGCATCTTCATAAATTGCTGGAATTTCTGGGGAAAATTATCTTCCAATATTGATATTTATATATCAAAAAGATGATTCAATTTCAGAATGTTAGAACTACTTAACCCAGTCTCAAATGCACCTTTTTGCCAAGAAAAGTCAGTCCAGGATTGCCACCTGTAGTGGAAGGAGAAGCAACTACTTTAATCGGCTAAAGAAGAACTGTTCATATCATAATATGTAATTCTCTGGAAAAACCTATTAATTCAATTATGCTAGCAGATTATTTCAGGTCTTTATAGAGATAAGTGATTTCACATAAATTACTTATAATAAAACTCAGGCACTGTATAACGTATCTACAATTATCTGATTAAAACTACTACTATTAAGGTAAATGTATCTTTTTCAATGGACAATATGTAAAAAGAACATGAATAATAAATATTTCACTGTAGTCTGAGACACAAATAGGGAGCGGAGAAAATTATAATAATCTAAGTGGTTTTCCACGCAAACTTATTGAATGAAAATTCCCTATTTCACTTCCATTGCATTGGACATTACAGCACCTATTTCAGACTTTTATAACAGGAATTCCTACTTTAACAGCATGCTGTATCTGATGAAAGGATTTTGAATAGCCATATTATAGAATATTGTGTTATGTGAGAAAATAGTTCAAATGGTTTTGTTTTCAATCAGAAGGTGCAGATTTTAGGCATCTGCATTAAATTAAATAGACTCAGTATTAAAATGAATAAAGATAGCACTGCATCGTCTGATAAAATTGCTGTTTTCTCACACAATACATAATAATCCCACCCTCATTGACAAGTATAGTAATTTTAACATTCATGCTTTGTAGATAATGCCATCAGTGTTGTGATAAAAATAATAGCATTTCTGCAGACTTCAAAAAGAAATTGTTTAAATAGGATTTTGTCCTCTCTTTTTCTTCACAATTCAGCTCTTCATATGGCACCTCTGGCAAAAGGTTAGATGAGACACAGATTTGATTAAATGGCTCCAGCTGCCTTGCTGACTTTGTTTGTGTTGCAGTCCTTGACAGAAAAGAAGCAGGGTGCTTTCCATATTGCATTGAATCTCTGTAAGAGGTTACGTGCATGTTAATCCAGACAATACTAAGGGGGGCAATAACATGTTGTATAGAGGGATTTTCTTATGCTGGATTCATAGCAAATTCCCTCCCCTGTCTCTCTCTCAACTCCCTTGAACCTTTTCTTGAACAATGTAAGTGACATTTCTGAAAAAAAAAATCAATGGATTTTCATAGTGACACTTCAATCTGACTGATGATTCAGTTGATTAGGTGAATTCTCCTGAAATCACTTAATAAAATGCAGGCTTATTAGCAAATGAATTAAACCTTAAGGAGACATCCTTAATCATTCCTGACTGGCTGTGACGATTTAAAGTTTACTTCCCTTGAGCCCACCTTTTATTACAAACAGTGTTAGTAGGTGCTTTAAATGGACTTTATAAAACTAAGACAGCATGACAGGGCATGAGCCGAGTAAATATTTTTCAGGTGGCATAAAAACCATCAGCAAAGACAAAGGAGTGTGTTAGAGCACTATTGAGCACAGGTGCTATGTATCAGATCTCTGGATCTGTCTTGTGCAATGTCACTGGCAATTGCTATGAACCTATTCAGAGTTTGAATTCTCTAACTCTTCCCATTAGAGGACTGAAAGAAAAAATAAAAGGTATGACATTTTGCCAAAAGTTTTATTTCACTGTTCTTTTCTGTTTATGCTGTAAAGGCAGTATGTATGTTTCAGTTGGAGGTGTCACTAACAAGTTTTGGGCCCTGGAGGGAGGTTGGGTATCAAGTGCAGGCTTGGCATCAAGAGGGTGTGTTGGGGCAGGGGAGGGGATTAGGGAGGACTCCAAGACCCAGACTACTACTGCTGCTGTATCAGCACACCTGCTTCCTATGGCCAGACAGTACAGGGCTGCTCCTGCTGTGGCAAAGACACAGAAGGGGAGCTGTTCCAGAGCCCCCTCTAAATCTGCGCCCCTCACCCCTCTCCCCATGCTCCCCACTTCATAGTTACACTACTGGTTTCAGTCATCATTTTCTCTGTTTACCAGTTTCATGCTATTAATACCGGGTATGTGCAATCTACAGGGAAAATATCTTCCATGTCAGTGAAATCCCAACAGAACTGTAATCAAACAAAGATGAACATTAATTCTGAGCGATCATTTAACTACAGTAAACGTCCACCAGTTCATATGATTTTATGTTGTTTTATAAATTTCTGCCTTTAAAATCAAAGTAATGTATGAACTTGCGCAGTTTTTATTCCAGTGTTTGGATATTTGTCCAAAACTCCTTTTTGTGCACAGGGGTATGATTTTGCTAGTTTTCCACCACCTTAAATTAAGGTATCAAATATACACACTGCTGTTAACTGTAACAAAATATTTTAAGCATATGGCCCAACCGAAGCATATGCCCAACTCTAATTTGCACAGAAAGATTTTGAGCATGGATGACAAAGGGGGAGTAACATGACCATATGTATTGTCCATAAAAATAAATGTATTGGTAATGATTATAGTCTGTGTTAGTCACACATTTATTATAGACTAAACTATAATTAATACTCCACACAAATAATCAAGAAACATAAATGTTCTTTAAACAGGCAAAAACATGATACCATATTTAGACAGTTCTTTTTTAAAAATTAAAACCAT